TTACTATATTTGGGCAAAAATTGCCGCTTTTTGACTCGGTGATCATGACGAAAATTATTTTTATTTTTTTAACTGATTAAAGCTAAATTCATAAAATCACTGCAAACGCATTAGTTTTAGATATAAATATCAATTTTTCCCGTAAAACTCAGTCTGTAGGAGAAGCAGGATGAGGGCTCCCTCTGGTGGCGATCTGGGAGAACAGCTTCCCTCACAGCTTCTTCTCCTGGAACAGCTTCTCCCAGGACGGCATGATGTACTCATAGATTATCTCAATCTGTCAGAAACACAGGTGCGTTAATCCACTCCCCCGCCATGATCCACTAACACCCCCCCCCTCTCGCTGCTGAGCTCACCTGCTGAGATCTCTTCACTCCGTATCGGAACAGCGTCGCCTGGTGCTCGCTGTTGTGAAACAGGATGTCAAAGGTCACCTCTCGGCCCATCATGTCCTCGATGGCCGGCTTCACCACGGAGTGGAAGTCTCTGGGGGAGTGTGTGCCGTCCAGCATGTTGTTGACCTGCAGAAACACACGGCTCAGCTTTTTTTGGGGGGGTGCAGATGTCTTAACTTTTTATTCTCACTCTCTTGTCGAAGCCATCCTTAAAACTACAATAATAAATAATATAAAACATCTTTGGATTTAAACGCACTCAGGTGGAGCCTGGTTACGGTTTCAGACCAGAATAGTCTTTTCCTCCTGAGTGGATCAGTAACGTTGCAGCAATGCTTGCATCCGTCTGCAGCCATACTGGATTACCCACAATCCAGTTCGAATCCACTAATATGACCGTCGTTTACATCCAACTCAAAGACAGTAATTTAACTTAAAATCTACTAAAATCAATTAAATGAAATATTTATAAATGATACAACTATCCTAACCAAAGACTAACTCTCCCCTGGACAGTTTCAGAGGTGTTACCTTGTATTTCGTCCCCAGCATCTCTAGAGGGTCCAGTTTGATCTCTGACCTCAGAGCTCGGCCGTACAGCGGGATCTTTGTGTCAGCATCTGGTGGACAAAAAAAACAATAAAAACCAAAACTGTTAAGACCAATTTGTCCCCTAAAGGGCTGCTTATCCTCCTGCAGCAGCGTAACTCAGATATTTTTGATTTATGCCCAATATTCCCACCAGACGAAAGTGCGCATTCAGCTCAGCAAAGAACTCATGCTCTTCCTCAACACTGAAGTCCTCAGA